TCAATAAATTAATTAAAATTTTTGTTGTTTCTTTATTACTGTTCGAACCCTTCTAACATGAAAAGAGTTTATTTTCGTCATAAGACATGTCATATTCGACTTTAAAAATTATATTATTATCAGTTTGGTATCAATTGAAACTTAAACAAACAAAAGCTTTCTTAGAGCTATCACAAAACTTCCTGACACATAAGCTCATACTACTAAAACTTAATTTGATTAACAAGAGTTATTTTAGCTGCAGTGGAAACATGGTATTAGTTTTAAGATAGTGCACTAAAAGTATATCCTTTAAGCACTAAAATAAATAAAAGAAATAAAACAATATAAATTAATATATAATAAAATATAATAAAACAGCATTTGGACTTTAGTTACATTGCGTCGCGTACGGATATGACTCATCAACTGAGAGTTTAATTTTTAATTTAATTTTTTTTCATTATTACCTCAAAATTATTTAATTACTGACTTTACTAACTTTAAAATATTTTAAAAAGGTATATATTATATTTTAATTCAATTATATTAATTGTATATATATTTAAAGTTCATTTATTACTATTCCAAAATAATCAATTTATTTTAATTAAATTTATTTAAAATATTAAATAAAATGTATTAAATTAATATAAATTATGTAACTCCAAAATAACTAATTTTTATTTAAATTTATATTAATTCATTATTTTTTTTAAATAATTTAAGTATTAATTGAAATAAAATATCTTAAAATAGATAAGTACGAATAAAAAATAAATTTAAATTTATAATAAATTTCATTTATTATATTTTCAAATTAAGTTATTTATTAATTTAAATAAAATATTTTAAATTAGTATAAATTATGTAACTATAATATAACTGACTTTTATTTTTATTTAAATTAAATTTATCATTATTCCAAACTAATTCAGTTATTCATTTATATAAAAAATTTTGAATTAGTATAAATTATATAATTATAAATTAAATTAATATACTACTCAAAAATGTAGTTAATTATAAAAAATATTACAACTAATTATTTATATAATTTAATAATATATAAATATTAATATTACATGTGAGTTTATTATTATTTAATTTAAAATTAATCTCAAGTACTTAAATATTACTTATACTTTTGTAAAGATTTTTATAAAGATATATATAAAGACTTTCACTATAATATATGTGTATTTAAAAATAATTTATAGAAAATATATTTAATAGATGAAAGATACATATTACAAGCAGCTGCATTAAATAATGTTTAGAATTTTTATACACATAATTTTTTTTTTTAATAAATTTTATTTATCCAAGAAACAAATGCTAAGACAACCATTAAAGAAATTTACCGGCCGGCTGTTAAAAGAACATAAATAAATGCTTGAAATATATTTCATAGATTTAATTAGTATTTATTAATATAAATAAATTTATGAGTGCAGTGTTAAATGTGTAAACACAATTTCATGTAAATAAATTTACAATTTCATGTGACGTATGATGCAACCATACATAACAAATTATTGAGGTGATAAATTTAAATTATATACTGTGTATAGCTAATATAAATGAATTTTAAAACTAATATATTTAAAGTATTTAAAATGATTTAAAAATTGTTATCTTAAAAGTGCTACTTTGCGATATTAAGAACTTATGTTCTATTACTTACTTACTACTTTTCCTGCTGTCCTTCTCTCCTAAGTGGAGCATTGTGCCACCACTTCTTCTATTACATTAAGTACATTTTGGAAGAATTTTTCATTTGTTATATCTGAAACTTGTAAACTTGACTTATATTGTGCAATAAATGCATTAGAGTTACAGTAATCCTATCTTGCTTTGGGAAGTTGTCATCGTCATGCAATTGGTGATGTGCTAAGTTACCTGTGACATTTATTTTTAATTGCACATTGACCTTTTAGTTCAAATATTTATTTAAGATACTTTTTTTATATTGAATTTCTAACAACTTTACAAATCAGTTGTGCATGTTGCTATGCTTTATATAATTTTAATTGAAAGATAAAAGTTTTGAGTTTCGGAAACAATGCACAACTTTCTTAGAATTTTACTAGAGAATTCCAAAATAATATCAATAAAATTATATGTCTCCATGAGAGCGTATTATATATATCAAGCGTATAAGCATAATTGCTGATAAATAACTCCTTATTCTAAATATACAAGTTTTAAATTATCCTTTTTATTGTACTTTTAATATTTATAGTTTATGCATTCTTAAATTTATTATTGTACGAGCAGCAATAAAACTCATGAATTATGTAAGTAATTTCTACCAACGCCCACGGCAACGGCAATAAAACTAAAATAAGAATAGAAAAGATTTTTAACCAAATCCAAAATAAACTGTCCATTAGCATAGAAAGCTGGGGAAGATTCTGGTAGCATAAGCGTACGTATTTGTAAATTGTAAACCACAAGCACAAGCACTGGAATAAAGGATTGGAAAAATTGTATGGGACACATAAATGAATGCAGGGCAACATACGAATAATTGCTTCTAGCGGGTGAACTAATGGCTTGTAACAATGTCCACAGCGATTTGCTTGCAGAATAGCTAAAACAGACCAAATACCACTTGTTTCGATGTAGCAGTAGATATACCAGTACGATTTAAATTTTATTTAGTATGAATATTGTGTCCTATACTTCACACAAGCGATGAATTTATTTATGGAATTTCAGAAAGCTTCTACAAACAAAATTTTGGTTACCGATTTTGGTATATCATAATAAAGTTGGAATTATTATGAATATTCGTGATAATTAAATTTTATGTTATATATGGCAAATGTGCCATTAAAATAGTCACAGATGTAAATAAGCACAGTCCATCTATACACTTTAGAATAAAATTAAATAGAAAAATTAGATAATTTAATTATGTTCAAAAACAAGTGATTTGTTATTATGTATGAAGTCTATAGAGAATATATGACATGGGATAGTCAAATTGTAGAAATAATTTACAAAACTACTATTTAATAATTATGTCAACAAATATAAGTAAGAAAAATATATAAAAATATCAATGAATAAATTATGAATTATGTGAACGGTGAAACAACATCTACTTGAACACTGGAGAGCCCAAACAGGCATGCACAAGTCAAAAAGATTCATTGATACTGATCACATCAAAGTTGATGCTATCCTTGGCTTTAGCAGAAACGATATTAAAATCTACACTGAACTTCTTACAGGACACTGTAGAGTTAATTACTATATGAAAATTATAGGTGTGGTACAAAGTGACTCCTGTCGACTCTGTCATTAGGAGAAGGAAACATCAGAACATGTTCTATGCAACTGTCCAGCGGTGGCAAGACGTAGACTCGATTACCTTGCAAGCGGGATCTTAGTTCCAAATCAAATAGGTAAAATAAAGCCCACAGCAATTACAAGATTATAAATAGTCTAAAATTGTCCCAGTTGGTTCTTTAGGCGCACAATAGATCTTTTAGGTCGGGGTACTTTAATAGCCTATTAGTTAAATAATAATGAATAAATAAATAAATGAATAAATAATAAACCATTTAGTACTCAAAAAAGATGACACCAATTATCATTATCACTACAACTGGTGCCCGACTTTAGCCGCAAACGATACGGTTTGCGAGCTGATATTATCCAACTGATTATCCTCTCGAGCATCCTAATTTACCTCTTCCAGCGCACACATGGTCTCTCTCGCTGTCTCTTACCATACATCTGTCATAAAAGGTTTTCTTTTTCACATAACCAAACCATTTAATACACGAAATTTATAATGTATTCATCATTATTATCGACGCAACAACTGGTATCTGGTCATGGACAATTTAATAAAATTGTGATGTGATTCATCATCATCATAAGTCTATCAAAAAGAATTCGGTCTTGGTTTCTTTTAACAAATGCTTTCTACAACGTTAATTGTGACCCGATATCCTCAAATTGAGTACCACAAAGCCTCGGTATACTGATATTTGCCATCTTTTCAGTGAAGATATAATATTTCTCATAGCCGCTTAACATAAAATCTGTCACAAAAAGTTTTCCGATTATGTTCCTTTAAATGCATACGATCTACATGATCAATTCATCGGAGTCTATTGAGCTTAATTTTTGTAACTATGTCTGCTTTCCGGTAGATCGCATAAAATGCCATTATATGTTAGTTATTACAATACAACCATGTCAAGTAGCCTGCTTATGTGTATTCTGTTTGACATGTAAATTAAAAATTTGATAATAAGATTTAGGAAAAAATTTCAATTCAATTTTGGCGATGGTAAGGAGGCTTTCTGTCTCTGCTTATATTAGCTAAAATAGTGTTTTTTAGTTGAAGGTTGAAATTTTCACAAAACATATTACTTTTACAATACGAAATTGAAAATTGTGATGCATAAATCAATAAATGCCAATAGAAATGACCAAATCTTGATTTGATTAACATAAATTAAGTTAACTTCAGTGGGAACATGGTATTAGACTTAATTAAATACATGATAAAACAAACATGTACTATACATATAAAGTAGTAGGTAGTTGACTGACTGGCATGAGTAGCTGTAAAGTAGGTGGGTTGACCAGTACATATAATGAATAAAGCTGTCAAACAATTTTTGAAGCTGTTGAACGAATGAGAACAGAATAAGAATATAGTATGATTGAATTATGTGCCTGAACAGTAATTCTAATCAAATGACTATAAAACTTACTTTGTTATATACACATGTACCATGTGATTATTCAAGCCATGCTATAAAACCGAAAATTGAAAAATTTTAAATTATTTTCTAAAATTAGTTTTAAAATTAATTCCTGAAATTCTAAATTTGATATGCGCAAATTATTATACTTATAATAATAAGAATAAAATAAAATTAGTTAAACAATATCATCCACTACTTATAGGTGACATATATGTATGTGATATATGCTAGCTTACCATTTATTAATTCAACATAACCTAATTTTTTTAAAATTATTATGGCTGCACATAACCTGCAATAAAATCGTTGCATGTAAACGTCATTTACACAATCCAGTAAAGCAGGCTTTGTTTGTTGAAATTCAAAGTAGACATCACTGTTTTTTATTTTTTAAGCATTTGAAATTTTTCTTTTTCTGATTTTTTAGTAAAACTCATTGGTTCACATGAAATTGCAGTTATTTATTATTATTCTCGCTCCAATTTGCATTTCGGTTTTTGGAAATCGTTTATAATTTGTGAAAACTCACTTTTGCGTGTCGGTGGCTTACATATTTTTGGCAAAAAAAACTTATTCCCTTTCGTACGACAGAGTAAGTGGCGACGGCATTAAATGTCCTTGAGCGTATCAATTTTAGAGCTTTTTCGATTTCAATTTACGTTGTTGGTCAGTTCTTAACCTAAATTTAGATATTCATAGTGGACATTAACCTCAATTTAAATTTTTTTTTCGCTTTTTGTGATTATTGGCGCACTTTTTCAAATTCGTTCTCTTGTATTGTTTATTTTTTTTTTGCTTCATTTTGCATATTTGAACGTTCCAAAAATAATTGGCTGGTACATTTTTTGCGCGTTGTGATAAATCATACAAGAAATAAGAAATGTATTTGTAATGTTAAATTTATTTTTAAAATACAATATCAATTTTATTGCTAGACAATATTTGTCTCATAAATATTACAAAATAATTTTCTGTCAAAATTTAAAGTTCTTCAAACGATAGAAGTATTTGTGGTAATGGAAAATATTTATGATGGCATTAAAAAATAATAATCCTTTTAAATTAAATATAAAATTAATGCATATAATTTTTGCTTTAGATAAAAAATATAATATTCTATACTATTCTATATAATAATTTTGTTAGATGGTGGTTATTATAAATGGACATTTTTATTAACTGCGCAGTATTGGTAGTTCCCACATTTCGTTCTCGAAATTTGCCTCAGGAATCTTTTACTTCAGATGGAAATTAAATTTGCAAAACAGTTTTTTTTTTTGGTCATTAGCAGCATATATATGTATATATACTTATAATATTATATATATTGAATAATAACCATAATCAGTGTACAAAAGTCAATGCGGAATTGTAATGAAAGCTGTAACAAATCATACATAAACCATCGGCTTGAAGATTGTATTAAATTTAACGGTTGAACACTATGCATTAGGGTATTCGTTACCGAGACAAGACACCAGGAAATATCTTTAAGACGATTGCGAACCTAAAAGAAAGTAGTTGAGAAACATATCTAAATAAATTTTCGAAAAATGTTTAGAAAATACTTTAAACATTTTGTCACTTTAAAAGCGACACAACAAATTTTCGTGGTATAAACAATTCCGGATACTTTGTACACTGAAAGTAAATAGTTTGTTAATTTTTTTTTAATGACTTATAGAATGCCTACCGAGATAATAACTCTTCAATTGGGCCAATGTGGAAACCAAGGTGAGATTTTTCGTTAAATATTGTTATGAGTGACTTTATTTATTCTTTTTATTTTGACTTTAGCAATGTCGAAGTCTGTCTTTAATATAAGTCGTACTTAGGTCATGACTTTGAAATCGACCTTAACGAAAACCTACTTCAATCTTAAATACATAATTCGTGGCTATTAAATTATCTTTCTTAAGAATATTGTTTATAATATTCTATTGAAAATCTATATCAATCTAAGACATATAATGGTGTAGATATCGAATTTTTTGCTATGACAGCGAATATATTCTGATATTATAGGCTTCTTAAACACTCTAGCGTCTTTCAGTCAGAAGTTGTTTATATATGAAAAGTTATAGCTTGTCTTGAATTAGTTAATATTTTGAGTACAGTAATATTTATATTAAGGTAGTCTTGATATAACTGGTCTTGATATGACTGGTCCCAGCATTTATACAAGGAATGTATTTATATCATCTGTACTAAAATCTTTGAGTATAGTCCGAATGACATTTAGAATGTTTTATGGCTATCTAAAATGATATTATATATAATTAAATGATATGCCAAGACAGTTTAATATATTTCTTCTCTGATTCCCAGTAGTTGTAATACAAAATGGATGAGCTAGTTTGGCAGTTTACATTAAAAATCTAATTGGAGCATCTTACAAAATATTTTCATTAGTGGAATCTCAACTTCAGAGATAGCCCATGTCATAGAGATCAGCTAACCTGAATGTACTCTCTGGGAACATATTCGAAATGTATTAAAAATCTTGGCTTACGAGTAGCATTATCAAATAACTGTTATAAACTTCTTGGATACAATAATAAATGATAGAATGATTTAGTGATATGCAGATATCTGAATAAACAGTGGGTACCTATTGTAATGTAATTGAAATACTGCGTGAAGATGTTAGTATTATAGTGGGTTTTTTGTTGAGTTTTTGTCAGTACACAACCTATGATTCTATTGAAACCGTGGTTTCAGATTGTAGATTGTTTTAAAAAATGGAGAACTACAAGTTTTTGTATATACCTTCAATTTTTTAAGTCAATACTCTTAGCATAAGACTTTTTAATTAATGCAATCTTTTTAGTTTTTGTAATGATTTTCATTTGATATTTTTTTTTAATTCTATGAGACTCCATACGATTTCATACTTTTTAATTATTTTTATCTCTTAATTTTTTTATTACTTTATCCTTTGTTACTTTAGTTTAAAATTTGTTTTGTCTTATTTTTTTTCACATTTTTTTATTTATTTTCTGTAAAAAGTTGGCTTTGAATTTTGGAAGCGGTTATGCTTAGAACACGGTATTCAGCCCAATGGTAAGATGGTCGAAGATGCTGGTGAGATACATGATCGCAAAGATATCTTTTTTTACCAAGTAAAACTTCTTAAGTCATTCGAAATTTGAGTTGATTTTAAGGCATAATGTTTTTTTTAGGCAGATGACAACCGATATGTGCCACGTGCCATATTATTAGACTTGGAGCCTCGCGTTATTAGCACAATCAAATCCTCGGAGTATGCCAAGGTATATAGTTGATCAAATTATTTTAATAATTAGAATAATTAAAAATAAATTACTAAAATAATTTTCCCTTAAAGCTTTACAATGTTGAGAATATTTACCTATCAAAGCATGGTGGTGGAGCTGGAAATAATTGGGCAAGTGGCTATTCCCAAGGTGGTAAATTAGGAGACGGAATTTTTGACACAATTGATCGTGAAGTTGAAAATGCTGATTTACTTGAAGGTTTCGCTATTTGTCATTCCATTGCTGGTGGTACAGGCTCCGGTGTTGGCTCATACATTTTGGAACAGTTAGCTGATCGTTATCCAAAGAAATTAGTGCAAACTTATAGCGTATTTCCAAACCAGGATGAAATTAGTGAAGTAGTTGTACAACCATACAATTCACTATTAACACTTAAACGTTTGAGTCAATGTGCAGATAATGTAATAGTGGTAGATAATACAGCTTTGAATCGTATTGCCGTTGAACGTTTACGTTTGGAAAACCCTTCATTTACGCAAATTAATAAATTAGTTTCGATTATAATGACTACCAGCACTGCAACAATGCGGTATCCATCGTATATGTACAACACTTTATGTGAAGTTATGGCACCACTTATACCGATACCAAATTTGCACTTTCTAATGACGGGGTATACGCCACTTTGCATAGATGTAAGTAGTTATCAATTCTACAATGGTAAATATAGTAAAATGCATTGCAAATATCTCAGAATGTCCAAGCCATAAGAAAGACTTCGCTTTTAGATGTCATGAGACGTCTTTTACAGCCAAGTAGTATGATGGTTTCATGCGAAGCTGATAAGAGTAATGTGCATCGCTTGATCGGTAATCTTAATATTATTCAGGTATGCTGGAGATCTTCTAATCCTATAAGGATTTCAAAACATCATTTATATTTTAAGGGTGAGGTAAATCCTTTGGATTTGAATAAATGTTTACAGCGCATGCGTGAGCGTGAAATGGTGAAATTCATTGAATGGGCTCCGGCAGGTTTGGAGATTGCATTTGCTCGCAACTCATCTTTCATTCATAACGATCATAAGGTCTCTGGTTTATTGATGGCAAATAATACATGTATTTCTTCGGTATTTACTAGGGCTTTGGCTCGCTATGATAAGTTAAGAAAGCGTGGTGCCTTTTTGGATCAGTTCAAACGTATTGAAGTTTTCGAAGAAAACTTGCAGGAGTTTGATGATGCCCGAGAGGTTTTAGAAGGATTGGCAAAAGAATATGAAGCGGCAGCTAGTCCTAATTATTTACAGCTTAAGTCAACTTAATTTAATTTCAATTTCGTAATTATTTACTTATAATTGCGGTTTGTTTTTTATTTAGTAATACGTTAATGTATTTTTTTTTTGCTATTAACCAAATGATTGCATATTCCTCTGTTAAAGCCCAAATTGATTTCATTTATAATTTTATATATATTGCATT